GTGCGCTCTGGCAGCTCGAAAGGCAAATGGGATCCTGGGCTCCATCAGGAGAGGGGTGGTCAGCAGGGACAGGGAGGTGATTGTCCCTCTCTACTTGGCTCTTGTGAGGCCCCATCTGGAGTACTGTGTCCAGGTGTGGAGCCCTCAGTACAAGAAAGACATTGAGATTTTGGAAAGGGTCCAGAGGAGGGCGACTAAGATGATCAGGGGGCTGGAGCAGCTCCCCTATGAGGACAGGCTGAGGGAGTTGGGCTTGTTCAGCCTGGAGAAGAGAAGGCTGCGGGGTGACCTCAGTGCAGCCTATCAATACCTGAAGGGAACCTACACCCACGAGGGGAGTAAACTCTTCAAAAGGGCTGACAACAGCAGGACTAGGGGAAATGGATCGAAGTTGAGGGAGGGAAGATTTAGGTTGGATGTTAGGGGAAAGTTTTTTACAAGGAGAGTGGTTAGGCCCTGGAACGGGCTGCCCAGGGAGGTTGTGGATGCCCCGTCCTTGGACGTGTTCAAGGCCAGGTTGGACGGGGTCCTGGGCAACCTGATCTGAATGTGTGTGTTTGGTGGCCCTGCTAGGCAGGGGGGTTGGAACTACATGATCCTTGAGGTCCCTTCCAACCCCGGGTGATTCTGTGATTCTGTGATTCACTGAACATTGCCACGCTATTAGCTGTGCATTTTTGCAGGCAATCTGCATTCTGCTCCCATCAAACTCTGCACCAGCAGAGCTGACCCACTGCTGAACTGCACCACCTCCCCACCTCACTTTGCTCACCGCCACTCTTTGGTCTCCATCAGCTTTTTCCAGGTGTCAACGAATGGCAATGGGGGTCATTTTTTCTGCATGGAGGGATTTCATATCACACCTTTGCTGCATCCTCACTACCGTGTCAGAGAGCGTTCTGTCAGACTGCCCCTCTGCTGCCATCCATCACACGACAAGAAAACAGCAGCATGTTGATGTTGGTGGAAAGGTTCAACCTCTGCTGCCATAGCACCAACCTCTGCTGCCAGCTGCCTCTGTGGGCCGACAGCTTAAGATAGGAGGCATTACTTTTGGAGCAGCCCTGCTGAAGAACGTGGTTTGTGTACACAGGTAACAAAGCTGATTTTAACCTTGATTTTTTTTTTTTTATTTTTAAATTCAACCACCTACAAAAAGAGAGCAATGAAAACCCGAAGCCAGTGGGATGTGGGAGCCACAGGAGCGGGTGCAGCTGGTTGGGGTCTGCGGTGGGTTTTTTTTACTCTCCTGTGCTTCGTCCTTGGAAGCAGCTGTTCATCCATGTGGGCACCACCAAAAAGTGGTGACGTGAATGAGTTGCGATGGGGAAGTGAGGGGTGTTTCTTGCTGGAAAGAGAGAGAGCTTATGAAGGTCTGGGGAAGAGGCAGAAGCAAAGTTTCCTTTGAGTTGAAGGTCTGGTTGCAGCTCTATCTGTTCTGTTTGAAAATTCACAGGTAGCGTGTTTGTGTCAGCAGGCAATAGAATCTGCTCCCTGTGTGCCCCTGGGAATGCTCAGCCTGCTTTGGAACCTAATTAATGCCTTGGCTTTGGAGATGCCCTTTGGCAGCATTTCCCATATTTGAACCATCCATGTGAAAACACATTTCCTCCCGCCCCCAAATCCCTGCTTGAGCCGCTTATGCTGCAATCCTGTTTGCTGGAGGTGTTCTGCTGATGTGATTTCTTTCCCAGTGCTTTACTTCTGCCTCTGCTTATCTGCCCGCTCCCCTCCGCTGTGCTGGGGGGCACTGGGGTGGGATGGCCCCATCCAGAGCAGAGCATTGCCCCTCGCCTCCCCATAACGGTGTATGGGGGTCTTGGAACCCCTGAGGTTCCCTTGGCTTAGGGCTGAACTGATTTGCTTCTGCATTTGTGTAACAAAGGCTGCTGTGTGCCTCCTATCATCGCTGCCAGCTGTTGAGCATCAATATTTATAGGGTTTGTTATACAGCTTCTTGCATCTCCATCGTGGATATGGGGAGGGGAAAAAAAAAAAAGCCAATCAAATGGTTTGTGCCCACTGCTGCCATCGTCCAGAATGTGAATTTCTCTCCCCATCTCTATATGGGGTTGCCACGAACAGGGGATTTTGTTCCTGGCTTTGGCTGTATAGAATACATCCATAAATCATACAGGGAGCAGCTGCCGCTCTCCGCCGAGCCAAAATGCATCAGATATAAAACACTGCTCAGTTCCTCAGTTTGGTGGGTATAAAGTTGCTGCAGTGGAACGTCGTTACAGGCTGCTGTTAATTCACCTCAGGGCTGCTTGTAATAGCACAGCACAATTCCCCTGTGAGAAGGAGATGGGTGTTGTGACATCAGGCAGGGATGGAAGGGAGGTTTTAGGAATCAAAGCTTTGTGGAAGGAATAACTGCAGTTTGTGCTGTCATACAGGGGGAGTTCCCTGCTTTGTTACTGATGGAAGCCTTGACAATTCCAGGCAGTTCTGTCACAAATCCCACAGCAGCTCGGCACTGAATGAGGGGCTGAGTGCAGCTGATGGTGACCAGGATGGCTGCTGGGTTTGGTTCATCCTCGTGTGGTTTTCAGCTGTGTGCCAGGCAGGAATCCTGCTTCTGCCCAGCTCCTGGCTTACAGCTGCTTTCACCCAAGCAAAACAGCTTAGGAAATCTGTCCTAAATGTTTGACACTAGGCTCAGTGCCTCGCAGAAATGTCATTGGCACCATGTTCAGCAGCGGGCCGTGGTGCTGCTGGTCTGACACAGTGCTGTCCCTTCAGCCTAAAGGGGAGGGAAAGCAATGGGGAAAGCTGCACTGTTTCCTGAACAAGGAGCCAACATCTGATCAGGGCTCTGCTTTTTTCCTTAGAAAATGTGACTTCAAAATGTCCTGTCTACTCCTTGCACAGTGGTTGGGCTGAAAAAAGTGAGAGCTGGGTGGGTTTGAAGGCGTTACCACGCTGTGGGAGGGCGGAGCTGCCGTGCTGCTGTGTTGTGTGGGGTCCTTCGGTGCCCAAGCCCCTTGTGGGCACTGGGATGAGCAGTGGGAGGAAACAAATTACAATCCCTGTTCTTATCAGATCCTGAGCCTGATGCTCTGCGTCCAGTGCAGTGCTGTTGGTGGCTGCGGTCACATTAAGCGTGCTCCCTGCAATAGCCTTCCATTTCTGCTGGAAAAGAAAGAAGTGTTTGCAGCACGAGCGGAGCCCAGGGAGAGGAGCTCTCGAACTGTTAGAGCTGACCCTGGTGCAATGTGTGAGGGCTGCAAAGTGCCAGCATTCAATGAGAGTATTTCTTCTGAGCTGCGCCACGCCGACTCAGAGAATCTCAGGGCTGTGTTTCTGCTTCAGTAACGCTGCAGCAAATGAGGAGTTGGGTTTTGGATTCAGACTGCTCCAAGTAAGCCTCCCGAGCTCTCCCCTCCCACACACAGTGCTGCTGGTGGGGCTGCTCAGTTCGGTGCTGTGCTGGTGCTGCTGGTCTCTGTGTCGCACAGCAGCTCCCTGCGGACGGCGGCTGCTTTGATGCCACTCAATGTGAAGCACATGAAAAAATCCTTCGCTTGGGTTCTAAAGTCTCACTAAAAAAAATCCAGCCGGGACTTTGATGTTGAGGAGATGCCGCTCAAAGTGCCCCAACCCTCTGAAGCCCGCCTGCCTGCCCTTATCTCACAGGCAGAGCAGCGAGTGGGCGCCTCGGGCAATAAAACAGCAGCAGCGGCAAAACTGTGCGCTGATTACTTATGGTCTGAGCATCTGCAGGCAGGAGAGGAAATCGCCCTGAGGGACCTGTGGTGCCATGAAGGACCCTGTACTTTGTTGTGGAGGCTGTGAATGGCTGCTTGAGGACCTTTCGCCACCGTGCAGCTGAGTGATGCCCCGTGCTGGGATGCTGCTGGGTTCAGGGCAGGTGCTGGGATGCAGCAGGACTGCTGGTGGCTGCTGCTGTAGGATCAGACCGTGCTGCTCTGGCATTCCCCACGCCTTGCTGCTGCTGTGCGAGTGAGGGAGTGAAATTGGCCTCGAACCAATTTGGTTTTATTATTTTTTTCAGTTTTATTTTAACTTCTCTCAGCAGTGTGACATACCAGGGCCGGGTGTGTGGTTGGCTCCCGTGTGCTATATTTGTTTTCCAGGGTGATGCTCGGTGCTCTGCAATGTGTCACACACTGCACCAAATTGCTTTTCACAGTTAAGAGGGAATTAAACGATCTCCTTTTTTGTCTATATTGCGTTTTTGTGCACAGGAATCAATCCGGCCCCACTGTGAGTTGGTTTAGGAATGCTCTCCTGCCAGTGACTGCAAAATAATTTTCTGCACGGCATTCCCAGCCCATTCCTGTTTGGTGCTGGCTCTGACGGGGTAAGCAGGACTGTGCCTGATGGCGCCAGGCTGCAGAATAGCTTTTGAGTTCACTGCCTGCCCCATCGAGCAACACCAGGCCTGGTACAACCCCATAGGGCTGGAGGGATGCGCCCGCTGTGCTGCCCGCCGGCCGCCGGTTCAAATCCCGCCTCGGCACTTTGTGTGGTGAGCACTGGGGCTCCCTTAGAAATGGGCATTTATTTATATCACGACTAGTGGCAGGGCTGTGAATTACCCCCAGAGGGATGTCTGCACAAAGCATGGTGCTAATTCTGTATGCTGTGCTGAGGATGTGTCCAGAGATGCTGTGTCCTGTCTTCATTAAAAGCTGAGCGAGATGGAAGGCTGAAATCTTTGCTTACAGAAGACATATGTGTGTAATATAAGGCTGCTGCTAATTCTTCCTTGGGATTGATAGAGAACATCGAGGACAAATTCACTCAATATCGTGTTTGCTTCTGTAAATGAAGCTTCCCCGAACCTGAGGCAAGACAGAAACATGACTTGGTATCTGTGCTGCTCTCTTTCAGTCAAATGGAAATAGCTGTCTTTATTTAAGAGGTCTCTGTTGGCACTGCGGTGCCGATGCTTCCTGAGACAATGCAATGGACAGAAATCTATTTTCCAGGCTGGAAGGAAAGCAGAGAAACAAAACAAAGAAAACACCAACAAATTGGAAGAATGAAGAGTGAGGAGGAATTGAAGTGTCCACAGAGTTCACAGTGTGGGTGACTGGAAGTGATGGGGGAAAGGCAGCGAATGCTGCTTGTGTAACACACAGCACTGGGTCTGAATGCAGGACTGCTCTGCCTGTGTCCATGTGCAGCACTTGGTAACAAGGTCTGTACCCTTTGGTTTGATAACATTCATTGTACTTCACTAAGCTGGGAAAAGATGGTTTCCTGTCTATAGAATTCCTGGTGATGCTGATTTGTTGTTTATCCTTGTAGCGTTTGTGCTGTGTGCTCTGCTGTGCACCCAAACCCAGCACTGCTGTCCCTTGAACTCATCTTCTCCCTCAGTGCTATCTGCTTATCCTTCCTGAGATTGTTTCTACATCCTGAATTCCATATGTAGGAAACTGCACAGGTGAGTGATCAGACACAGCCGCAAGGAGGGACGCCTCTGACGTCTGTTCTTGCTGTGCTGCAAGCCCCGTGGGCACAGCCAGCAGAGAGCAATGTGTGCCCCAGGTCAGCATGAGCCTGGGTCTCCCCGAGGCTCAGTGCTGCTATGAGTGCTCAGCCCTGGGAGCTGCTGAGGGGTGTGAGCACGGCTGGGGGTTTGGTGGGGCCTGGGATGGAGCCTGGTCCTGACTGCAGGGCTCAGTGCCTGCGGCTCTGCTCTTATCTCCGGGAGTTTCCATGTCCTGTTTGATCAGATCTTGCTGCTAGAATTGAGCTGCTGAGCCCAGTTTTGGGATGATTCCTTCATTGCGATCTGAGCAATCCCATAAACAGGATGGGGAAATAACCCTCTGCTATGCAGGGCTATGAGGCAGCATGAGCAAAGCACTGAAGAACATTGCTGCATGTTTGGTGGTGGCTCCTGGGCTGCGTTGCTGCTGCCCATCACAGTGGTGGAGACCTGCAGCGCAGCCCCTGCTGCACACACCGTGCTGTGCTCCCCAGGAGAGGAGAAAGCTGGGGCTTACAGCAGGTACAGCTGCACTTTGGCTGTTCTGGAACCAGGCTGGGAGCTGTCAGTCTGGCAGCAGCCTGCATTAGTACGTTCTCTGTATTTTCTCTTCCCCAGATGTTGCTCTAACAGCCCCACTCCATTCATTTGCAGTTCCATTTCTATACCCGAGTGCTTTCTCCCTTTGCGCAGCTCTCTTTGGCTGGCTCCTTTGTTTTGTTGACATCAGAGAAATCACTTTCCATTGACATTTGAGCAGAGCAGTTCCATTCATGCCCTCAGCAGCTGCTCACTACCCCACAAGCAGCAGGCAGTGTTTGCTCAGGGCAGTGCTATCAGAGGGCACAATTCGTGCCACCAGGTTTAGGTTTTTCCTCTCGAGAGACAGTGCTCAGTTTATGTATTCTTAATACGGAGTTTCTATTTCCCCTTTGAAGGAGTTTTATGGGCTGAGGTTACTCTTTCTTTTTATTCACCACATAACAATAAAGCAGTGTTGTGCTCCCGCAGCCTGCAAACCTCCAGCACGTATCACAGCCATAAAACCCCGGTGCTGTTATTCAAACTGGGGCAGAAGAATTCTCCATATTTTCATTCAGGTTGCTCACTCTTTTATTTTATGACACGTGTGTGGTTCTCCCTGAGCTCCTACGGTTCTTAACTCTGGAGAATAAGAAATGGCAGATTTAATCACGTTGAATAACGTACATTTGTTTGCTTTAACACCGCTCTGCGAAGCGCCTCGGGGCTGCTTGGGGCATCCACGTGCAGTGCAGTTTCTCTCCGCAGCCCTTCTGCTTTCCAGCCTTTGTGTTGTGATGATCTCTTCCTGAGTTCCTTGCGATGCTTCATTTTAATATATATTCCCTTGTCACTGCAGAGCTGAGCTCAGCCTTCTTGTGACACCTGAAGCATTGCTGTGAGGGGAGACTGAGATCCAGGTGAGCGAGAGGAGCAAAGGGTGGGACTGAGCAGCAGAAACCCATGCAGAGAGGAGGAACACCCGTGCTGGGGCACAAAGCACACTGCCTGCTTGCAGTGTGAGGCACTGGAGCTTGGATGCTGCCGTCCCAAAGGGCACAAGCTGCGATGGGAGCACACAACCCTAAGGGCAGCAGCGTGTGTTCCCCTGCCAGCTGCTCCCTGAGAGTGATGCTATCAGCTCAGCTTTGTTCTGCTGCGTGCAGCCTCGCTCTGCTGCACAGCACCGAGCAAAGCACTGATAGGATCTGCCCAGCCCTGCACAATGGAAAGTGCCACGGCACCCAGCCAGGGCCCGACCTCAGCCCTCTTTTGGGATCTGCTCCCGCAGCACTGCTGTGTCACACTGATGCTGCTGGCTTTGTGCATTTCTGTACAGCTGTGTTTCTCACTGTTGTTCTTTACAGATGCATTAGAAATCCATCTGAAGGTCAGTCTTAACAAAGCCAATGCTTATCAGCTTTCTCCAAGTTGCTTTTTTAATTTTTTTTTTTTATATTTTGGTGAAGAAAATCATTTTCCAAAGCTGCATTTGAAACATCCATGAGCACTGTTAATCCCACAGCTCCTCAGGGTGAGGAGATCCGGTCCCGTCCCACCCCACAGCCCCATCAGCCCCCGGTGTGACCTGTGTGCTGCAGCTCCCCCGAAAGATGGTTTCCTTCCAGCATGGGGATCCCACAGATCATCATTTTGGACACCTTTGTAAGGCAGAGAGGGGAAAAAGCAGTGCCCAGGTGAGTGCCCCAGGATGGGAAGGGAAGCTGCTGCTGGGAAAGGCAGCAGTGACGCGGTGCTGTATAAATCAGCAGCTTGGCAGCTGGGTGTTGCTGGCGGAGATGCAGGAGGTGCCCACTGCTGGGATGCGAAAAGGTGTGTCCAGGTGGTGGCAAATTTGATATAAGGGCAGCTGCTGGCACTGCTGCTGCAGCACCGGAAGAGCGGGCAGGAGCTGGGTGCTGTGCAGAGCCGGGCTGAGACGGCATCTCCCAGTGCAGGTGACAGCAGAGCTGTGTCTTGCAGTGCCATCCCTGTCCTTTTGCACTGCTCATGCCACCGCTTCCCCTGCTGCAGGATGATGAAGCCGCTGAAGCTTTTTGGAATGGTCATCTTCTGTGGGCTGCTCTCTCCCACCCAGGGGGTTCTATCTGGCCTGTCCTGTGCCGTCAGTCCCAAGGCCACGCAGCAAGGTAATGGGAGTGGTGGTGGTCCCATGGGGCCAGTATGTGGTAAAACCCCTGGCTGCTGTCATCGCTGTACGCTTCCTCGGGGCTGCAGGAACCGTCGCTGGGTTCACAGGGAGGGAGACCTTCTGTCTCCAGGACAGGGGTGGCGCTCTGCTCCAAACAGCCATGCAGAACTTTAGGATTCTGGATCCTTTCCTCTCCTCTTTGTCTTTGTTTTCATTTCCCTGCCTAGCAGCCAATTTTTTTGCCAACAGCCACGGTGAAGCTTAGCAGCCGCCTTCATGTGCACGGTGCTCTGGCTTACTTCTTGTTGCTTCTGTTCCAAAAACAGACCAAAGGAAAGCAAAACTAATGCCCTCTGGAAGCGAGCAGCAAGCAGTGGGCTGCAGCTGTGCCGTGCTCCTGCTGAGCCCAGGGAGGGCAGCTTTGTTATTAGGCATTATAAAACATCACCCCCCCCCTATTTGACCACATGGATGTTGGAAATGGCTCACACAGGAGTTTGGGGAGAGGTGGGAGCTCACACGGAGCTGTTTTGCAGCGCTGTCCAATGCCATCATTCAGAACGGGCTTCTCCAGAAGCACCTGCAGGGCCTGGTGCTGCCGAACATCATGAGTGACGGGGGTCTGCTGAACTCCCCCACCATCATCACGGGGTGAGCAGGGCTGGGCATTGCAGGCAGTGCTTTGCCCTCGGGGTGTTCTGTAGGTTTGTGATGGCTGTTTGCTGCTTTTTGCAGGCTGCACCTGGAGAGGTCCCGGATGCCCACGCTGTCGATGGAGCTGCTGCCTGGGATTGGGATGCAGTTGGTCATCACCGTGCGCCTGGATCTCAGTGGCAACTGGTGAGTGTGCAGAGCTCCGAGATGCTGTCAGGTCTGCATGTGTCCCACAGCACAGTGCTTTGAGTCCTGCGTGGGTTCACCTATAATAAACCCATGTGTAGCAGAGAATGGCTTGTGTCCTTCACCACAAATTACTGATGATGGAGGTTTTGCTGAGCGCCTCTGGTGAGCGAACAGATTCCATCTCTCAGCCTCTCATTCGCCTCTTTCAGCTTGCTTGGCCTTCTCTCCGAGGTAATTGTTATCTCCGTGGATGTGACTGTTACCACAAACATCAAGTGCTCAAGTTTCGAGTCGGGTGCAGTCCAGGTCATTGCTGATGACTGCTTCTGCATTCTTGGTGCTGTAAAGATCAAGCTGCTCTCTGGGTAAGTGCTCGTGGGTTGATATTTTCCAATGCCCTGTACTTTATCCCATGATCTGGACTGGCTGCCAGCCCTGTGCCAGCAGAGCCAGGGAAGAGATTCCTTTCCTGCTGCCAGTGGTGGTTTCTCAATGGAAAATTGGCTGCTGGAAGATGAGGGCTGACGATCTGAATGACAAGGTTTAGCATCAATTCCAATGCAGTTCTGTTAGACCTAGCTAGTGAACTGATATCTGAGACATACTAACCTGAAGGTGGAGGGGAGGGGTGCCAGGAAAGCAGCCCCACTGGTGTGCCTTGCTCTGTTCTCCAGTCTTGCCCTTTGGCTGCTGTAGCAGAAGGGCGTTGGGCATTTGATCCATCAGTCTGACCACTGTGGGGCTGTGTGATCCCATGCAAGTGTCCCCTCTGCAGGGGATGGGTATGTGTATGCCCAGATGTTTCATGGTGGATCCTCAGATGTGTCTGCAGGGAGAATCTCCTGTAAGTAGAGTGCTGCATGGCGAGTCCACACCATCTGCAGATTGCAGCACTGCTGTGTGTTCGAGCTCAGTAGTTCAGAAATGTATTGATTCTCAAGCTGAATGTCTCTGCACTGCCTGCAGGCAGCATATAACCCAGAGTGATCTATTTAGCAGCAGTGAGGGAATGCTTCACAGCAGATTTCTCCTCTTGTTATTCCACATGTAAATATTTTGTTTCCCATAACTAACATGGAATTCACAGCAACAACACCTCCCCTTAAGTACAGCACTGATTTAGATGCCAGCGGGAGATGGCCAAGCTCAGGATACGCTGTGAGAAACTCTTCCTTGCCCACAGTGGTGTCTGCACACTCCAAGTGCTGCAGCCATGAGCCCAATCCTTCCTCCTTGAGGCACACAGCCCTTCTGCTCGTGGGACAACTGGGGCTGGGGCTGTGTGGACAGTGAAAGTCTTCTGCTTTGCTGCAGTGATGGGGAGTTGTTGGTTTTTGGCTCTCATACATTCTCTTTTGTTTTCTTCCCTCTTTTCCAGTTTGCTGTCCCTGTCAGTGCATGACATTGTGCTCAGCCACCTGACAGCAACTTTGCCTGGTTTGGTAAGTCTGAAATCAGCCTTCTTCCCGTAGCCAAAATGCTATTTTGAAATACAGGGGAGAACGCACAGCATGGCTGCAGTGAGCTGTGGCATGACTGTGCTTTGCTTCCACAGTGGCAGGGTGCAAGGTGGTCAGCCTGGCTGCTGCTGGTGCACTTTGCCTGAGGTGTCCCCAAGCAGCCCAGGGCACCTCCACCACCCCCAGCCCATCCCAGTGCCTGCTGGCTGCTGCCCCATGGCTTCATGCTGCAGCTCAGAGCCATCAGGGCTGCCAGAGCCATGCAGGGCACACATGAGCTGCCCTGTGTTGTGTTCTATTGCAGCTGTGTCCAGTGATGGATATTGTCTTCAACATAGTGAACATCCAGCTCCTGAGCACTCTGGATGGTACGTCCCAGTGGAAGATGTTTGCTGTGTTTGGGTGGTGGGATGCACATGGTCCAGTGCTGCTACCCCAGTGCTTTGGGGTCCTAAAAGCTCCAAGGGCAGAGATCAACTCTGAATGAGAGCATCTCACGGCCTCGGGTTTCAGCTCCTATCTTTGAGCTACGTCCTCAGCTCATAACCCACAGAGTTTCATTTGGGGATGTTTTGCCAATGCTGAGTGGCAGCGATTTTACAGAGCTCCCCCAAAATGCAGGTGCTCTGTTTGTGCTGCTCCCTCTGGCTGGGACCTGGGGCTGGGAGGAGCTGTGTGTTCCCTGACCATCACCAGTGTTTTCTCCATGCAGTGGTGATCCCTGTCGGCTCGAAGGGGACGGTTCACTACCACCTGGCTGGCCCACCATTCACCTCTGGTTCGTCCCTGATTATGGATTTAGATGTAAGTGAACACTGGATATCAGTGCCCTGTGCACACCAGGCTTCATTCAGCACAACCAAACGGATGGGCTGTGCTGATGAGCTGTTCTGACAGCCAGCTAAATGTGCCAGCCCCTATCCGACCCCATCACCAGGTGATTGGGTGCTCTCTTTTGCTTTAGTGGCAAATTTGCTGCATTCTGCCCACATTGTTTGCAGGCTGCATGGGATGAGCAGTTGCCACCCCTTTGCACTGCCTGAGCCTGTGGTGCAGCATTTTGCTTTTGCTGTGCACTCTGTGTGATGGGTGACTGCTAAACCAAGCCAACTGATGTATTTTTTTACTGCTGCCTCACGGGAAAAAGACTCAAAAAAACCAAACAGGAATTTCAAACAGGAGAAATTAAATAAACAGAGCTAGCAAGAAGCAACTGGCAGGTGAGGAGTAAGGGCTGAAAGGAGGCTGAGTGCTCCACCTGGCAGGGCAGCAGTGCTCCATGCGTTCTTTAGTGCAGATGTCATCAGGATTGGGCTTTGCTCCCACAGACAGAGTCAGTCTTCTTAGCAAATAGGTGACATTAGCACAGGTTCGTTGCAGTTGGAGCAATGCTCTCTAAGGTGACATGGAGCAGTGGTCTGGGATTTGGGCAAAGCGTGCTTGTTATCAGGGGCTTCAGTTACACACAGGTGTCCATCAGCTCCTTTCACACACTAAATCTGGAAGGAACAGCTCTGTGTGCAGTGCAGGACCACGTTGCTGTTTGCTCACAGGGCACAGTGCAGCAAATGGGAGGCAGCATCATCCCCCACGACTCGTACGCCTCTGCCTTGCCCCCGCTGCTGGACAGGCTGCTGATCATCGGTGTACGCCAGAGCTTCCTCAACTCCCTGCTGGCCCTGCTGCTCCAGATCCAACCACACACCTTCCCCTGCTCGTCAGAAGCTGTGAGTGCCACGGTGCTACGTTGCACATCAGCAGCCCTTCCTGCTGCTGGTGGCTCTCACCTGAATGAGTGAGCGGCACTGCTCTGCACTGGGGAGGCTTGGGACTGGCCCAGGAGTGTGACTCAAGCAGCTGGGAGCAGACATGGGAAGTGGGTGGGTGGTGCTGGGACCTGCAGGGTGCCCACCTGGGCTGTGCGCTTCTTTCCCTGCAGTTCTCTGGAGCCAACCAGCTGAGAGATTCCATCGCTGCCCTTTATCCCACTGGGGTGAGTGACTTTGACTGGGTAAGTTTTGGGTAAGTCTTGCTGGGTCCGAAGCCATCTACAGAATGCACCTGGACAAACACCTGAGCCATCTCTGGTTCTCTGCAACCTTGTGCTTTTACTTCTCTCTGCTGTCTGGTTTTGTTCTCTGCACTTGCATAAATCTGGGCTTGTCCAAGGTGTGCATGACCTCAGGGGAGCCCCACAGAGCTGTGGGGCTGTGTGTGTCCATGGGCTGAGTGCAGGCAGCCACCTTCACGTCCCCCATCCCTGCAGTGCACCAGCTGCCCTGCGGCCAGTCCTCTGAGCATCCGTGTGGAGTCTGTGGGGAACCCCATCCTTCTCTTGGAACCCAACAAAGCCACCGTTGAGCTGTCGGTCCTGCTCCAGGTGTTCATTAAGCGCCCGGATGGTTCCATCATCAACCTGCTGCTCCTGAAGGCAGTAAGTGGAACACGAGGTACCTGGGCTGCCAGAAGGGATGGGGCCGTGGCCTGGGCTGACCTGCTCACTGTCTGCTTGCAGGACCTCAGTCTGAATGTCCGCCTGTCGATCTCCAGGGGCAGCCTGGTGCTGGCCTTCTCCCTGGGCAGGTAGCCTGTCCCCCCCTGTGGTGCCTGGCCTGGGGCTCTGCTGAAGCTCATGGTGCAGGGGTGTGGTGACACAGCATGGCAGGAAGGGCAGTGCATCCCACTGGGATGACCTGAGCAAGCTGGAAGCAATGGGAGCAGAGCGCAGTGTGGGAGTTCAGCCCCATTCTGGGCTGCTGGAAGCCTCTCTAAGGCAGTGTTGGCTCTGGAGCTGCTGCCTGGGCATTTTTCAAATGTGGCCCCCGGATTTCCCAAATCTGAGAATTCCACATCTGAATGGTGGCACAAAGTGGAGGAGTAATACTCATCACAGTGGTGGGAGAGTTTTAGGAGCATGGAAGGAAATCTGTGTCCACTTTATAACCAGGAGAGATGAGGCAGTCTGAAAAACTGTACCAGTGTCAGCTTGACTTTGATCCTGGGCAGCACTTCCAAGTGCCTGATATTGGACATGAGTGATAAAGGAGCAAAGGAAAATGCTATCGTTAGTGCCAGTCAAGGTATGATTAAAGATTGGGAAGCATTTCTTACAGCGTGAGGTCTGAGGAATTCAAGCCATTTACCTTGTCAAAGGGTTAGATTTAGAAGCAACATTGGCACAGCCCATATGCAGTGATACAGACAATGGAAATGCATCAAAGGGCTTTTAATTCAATAGACAAAGATATAACAAGATTCAAAGGAAGCAGAAAAGAGAAACTCAAAGTGGAAATAAAGCAGAGGTTTTAGCTATGGAGATAACTGTGTGATTGCAGTGACAGATTGGGAACTTTGGCAGATTCTCCTGAGCTCATGATCCTTATGTTTGGGCTGGGTGCTTTTTCTAGAAGCTCTGCTCTCAGCTGAACAGAAGCTGATTCCTCTCCTAAGGTGAAAAGCTACCTGGGCACAGGAGAGGAGGGGGAGTCCCTCGCCCATGGGCTGAGTAACGCAGCGCTGGGGGTGTTGGGCTGGGGGCTGAGCTCCTGCTGCTGACCCACTGACTGACGTGCCATTGGCTTTTCTTTTCTGCAGAGTTTCCCTCATCTTACAATCATCTGACATTGGCATCAGTGATGTAAGTCCCCCATCAGGAGGGCCCTTCCCATGGGATGTGGGGGGCATGGTGACAGGGGTGTGAGCTATCAGCTGCAGCTCTGCATACCGTGGCAATGCTTTTGCTGCCTTTTATTACTATTATTAATTATTATTATTGCTATGCCTTTTCTAATAATGCAAATGCAAAGCCTGAAGTTTGTGCTTATTCACCCTTGCTTGGGTTGAGCTCACTGAGCTCCAGCTGAAATGTTATCCCTAGAACTCTTCCCAAAGGAGGCACCAAATACAAACAGAAAGAAAAGTAGTTTTGATTAAAGAAAAGGCCATGTGCTGAGCTGAGCTCGCTGCTGCCGCACTGCTGCTCATGGTGCTGTTCCATCTTTGCCTCAGATCGCCAACCTGAAGCCACACCTCATTAAGCTGCTGGTGGAGACCTACGTGCCACTTCTCAATGGTAAGGAGCCTGGGGCAGCCCTTGATTTGGAGCACTTTTGTTGCGGAGAGGGGGTGGTTTCTATATGGCAGGGGGGTTGCTGTGTCCAAGCTGAGGCTGCAGCTGTGCCAGCTCTCAGCACTGGGGGCTGTGTGCCTGCACTGGGTGAGGCTCTGTCTGTCTCGCAGCTGCTGCAGCCGTTGGGATACCCCTGCCTGATGTGTTCAGAATTCCTCTGATAAGGGTGGACTTCCAGATCTTGTTGGTGAGTGTCGGACGTGGCTCTGCCCTCCTGTAGGCATTGGTGTGAGTTGGGTTGCTGGGGTTGTTTCTGGCACGTGGGTCCTGCTGAGGACATGCTGCAGGGGCAGAATGTACCACCGGGTTGGAACATCCTGCAGCCCTTCGGAGCGATGCTACACAAAGAGCCCCGAGTCATGCCAAGCTCTGAGCTCTGCAGAGAAAGGACCTGGGTCAATCTGGTGCCAACAGGGTGAACAGGAGCCAGCCGTGTGTCCCTGTGTCCAAGAAGGCCAATGGTGGCCGACAGGGGGACTGAGAGCCAGCAGTGTGCACTGGTGGCCAAGGAGAGGCTGGGCAGTGATGCGACCATGTTACTTTGCAGGGACTGTTGTTGATCCTCGTGTGAGCCATGCACTATGCAGGCAGCTCTGAAAAGAAAGAGGGAGGAGATCCGGTCAGGATGGAGCGTTGGAACCAACATTATCATCTTTCCTTTCCTAAACGTACTGCAAGATTCTTGGCAATATTTAAGGCACTTTAAATTAAATTGGCTTACATGGTACTGAGATGCTTGCATAAGCCAACACCAGTTAGGCAGCTCTGTGTAGAAATATTTATTTAGAGAAATTAGGGCGAATTAGAGGTCACGGTTGCAGAAGTGGCGTGTGATGCTGCAGCTAAAGTGTTAAATTCCTTGAGAATTTGGTCTTTGGGAAAGTTGTTGTCCGTGTAATGAAAAAGGGAGATTTTGCATGTGGCTCTCCAATGCGGATGTCTCCATCCGTGCTGAGAAAAGTCCAAAGTGCTGAGCAGGAGCTCGGGATGCGTTTGTCACTGGTTGCTTCAGTAATAAACATGCATTCTTTTTTAGTGCTCAGAAGGAGGTTTGTGATGTTCTTGGGGATGCCCCCCTGTGCCTCCTGCTGGAGGATCTGTTCCTCTGTGACAGTGCTATGTTGGGGTTCGGTTTGAGCCCTTCCATCCCAAATTTCTAACAACACTCTCGGATTGCCAGTGGCTCCTGCTGTTGGGTTACCCTTTGCTAAAACACACGTAGGAATCAGAATGAAACTGAATTTCCAAACCAGCAGGCATCAGCTCCCGTGTCACTCAGGGTGCCCTGGGGCTGGATGAGCTCTGAGCACCCATGGTCCCAACTCAGTGGTGTGGGTCTGGCAGTGCCAACCCGGTGCCAGGAGGGGCTCAGGGCATGGTGACCATGGCCCTTTGCTGCCAAGCTAATGAATGCTTTTCCTACTGCAGCCTATTCCTCTTGGGAAGCTAGGTTAAGATATATTAGTCAAAGAATAATGGTTGCAGCTCTACCAGCAAACTTTTATTAGGAACAGTTCCTGCTATTGCCAACCTCGGGCATTAAAATCATTAGTCAGGTCCCCAGGACGAGCATAGAAACCTTCAGGTTTTTTCCCTCCCTGCAATAAATCACACTGGCTTGTTTTGTTTCCTTTCCTATCCCCGACTCTCTGAAATATGAGGTTTTCAAGTGCTTTTCAGCTGCTCCAAAGGCTGGAAATGATGTGGACAGGGAAAGCAGATGGATGTGTAATTAACACAGCTCCATGGGCTGGGTGGTGAGCGCACTGCGAGTGGTGTGGGCACTTCTGGGCAGCACGTGGGGACCCTGTCCTCCCACCAATCATAGAATCACAAGGTTGGAAAGGACCTACCAGATCATCTAGTCCAAAAATGACACCTCTGGCACCGTGGCACGGGGTCTGACCGGTGCTCCTGCCCACCCACTCTGCTACAGCTTTGCCAGAAGCATGTTGGAAACATGACCAGCTTTCAGGCTAATATTAGAAATCATTGTACAGATGATGGGTGATTTTTTTTTCTTCTTCTTTCTGGCCCAGCTCACCAGCTTTTTGGTTCCCATAGTAACACTAGAAGTGGAGGAATAGCCACAGGGTGTCTGTGGTGGGTAGGGGCGATGCTGTGCTGCACGGGGCTGCCTTGCATCCACAGAAATTAGTGGAATTTTGATGCTCCCTCGGTGAAATCTAAGGGCTGGGCATTGGTGCTGGCACTCAGTGAGATGGAGTTCATCCATCTTTTGGTATGCTGAGGGGGAAAATAATTGATACCGTACAGGAGAATGCAACATTAAGGAGAAATGTTTAATTAAAGCACGGAATATTGTTACAATCCATCCTCCTCATGCACCAAGAATGCGAAGATCAGGATTAGAGGAGAAAGACTCTAATGCAATGTTATCCTAAACGTGAGGAAGTGTTGTTTTACTTAAGAAATAAAATTCTTTGTGTTTTGTGCAGTGAAAATCCACAAAGCAGAGTGGTTTTCCACTGCTTTCACCCAAACATTGCGGCAGGTTCAGGCCATGGTGCTCTGCAGCTTCAGGTTGCATGGGACCAGGACGTAATCCTATAGACAGAGGGAAGCAGGCAGGGGCAGAGCACGCCCTGCTCCTCCCAGAGCATGCTTTTGGCTTGTGCTAATGTGCTTAGTGAGGAATGCCCATGCAAAGCAAGGGAACGTGGTGCTGGGAGGATACAGCTCAGAGCTGGGAGGGAAGTGTCAGTCCTCTTTAAATCAGGTATAGCAGGAGCAGCTTAAACGCCTTGTTGCAGGGAGCACTTTGCCTGTGCTGCTCCTTACCTTGTGGATCACAACGCTGACGTCGGTGTAGGTGAAGCGGGAAAGGTGAGGCAGCTGCACGCCTTCCCTCAGCACATCTGGGAGGAGAAATGGGGAAAGCAGACAGGGAAGTTCCCAGCAGAGCACTGCCCTGTGCCCAGTGCTGCCTGCAGGACGTGCCTGCTGCTCACCATCCATCCATGCTGGCACCTGCTGGCATACAGGGGCCAGGAACAGCTCCTCCAGCAGTGCAGCCTGCAGGGTGAAATGGGGCAGAGTCAGCTCCGAAAGGGAGAAGGGAAAAGGCTGGGGCTGGCAGTGGGGTCCTGGTGTGCTGCCATGAGCACTGTGAGCACACGCTGCCCTGCTGCTGGCCCAGCTGGGGTGTCTATGGTGTGAGGTTGGCTGAGGATGGCTGGGCTCAGCGCAGTGCCGTTAGGGGCCTGACTATGTTCCACTTCCTGGGGGGTTCTTGGGGCACCTACCGGCACCAGGCCCACATTGGAGGCAGCCAGGCTGAGCTCAGCATCCCTGCAAAACAAAAGGCAGCACCAGGCTGTTGCTCAGCAGCTCTTTGGCCCAGTGTCTGTGCAGTTTTCCTGAAGCACCTGTGCTTGGTGACAGGCACAGGCTCACACACTGGGCAGTGCCTGGCCAGCATCTCCCTGCAGCCAGGCACCTCCCAGCTGGCAGTGGCACTGCCTTTGCCCTGCACACAGCAGCATGGAGCTGGGGGTGCCTGGCCCTAGGGCTGCAATGAGGATTTGCTGCGAGTCATGGGATGCTTGGGGTGATGCACAGCGGCGGGCACTGTTTCTGTTTTCCTCTCACCACTTCCTTTGGGCTAGAGCTACATCTGCAAAGACAAGCTATCAGAGCTAAGGAATTCCTCAGACTGCTCTGCCTCTCCCATCCTATGCTACGGCTGTGCCGTGTCCCCTGCAAGGCTGCAGAGCACAGCCAGGTTTGTTACTCTATCACTGCTGTGGAGATCATCATCCGTGTGCCAGAGACGCTGAGCTGCAGTCCTGCGGTCACGTCCTGCGAGGAGAACAGGGTCAGAGTGAGCAAATGGTGTTGTTGTGGATCAGAATGCTGGTATGCAACGAAGCTGTCTGTGTGCTGCCCCTGCAATGCCCTGCTCACACCCTGCTCATGCAGGAGACCAATGGCACAGGGTGTTGTGCCCACTGCAGTGCTCACTCACCGCGCTCACGCTCAGGAAGCTCTGGAAATCAGGTGAGCCTGCCCCGATGTGAACAGTGAGGAAGAGCTTCAGAGCTGCCCGGCCTTCCTCCAGCATCACCCGAGGAGAGCTTCGGAGCGCGGCGCTCAGCATGATGGGCAGGTCCTCATGGTACAGGGAGCCCACCTGCAGGGATGTGTTTCCAGCTCGGCTGTCCTGTGCTGGGGGGAGGGCAGTGGGGCATTGCCCCATGGCAGCAGGACACAGCCACGCACCTGAGTGATCTTCTGTGCCAGCGTGGCAGTGGTCAACATGCTCTGGAAGCAAAGTGCAGCCTATCAGCTGAGGTAAGAGCACCGGGGGTGATGCGGTGTGGCTCTGACAGCAATTGCTGTTGTTGTGTCCTTTCCTCCTCCCTCGCCTGCTACTCACTGGGATGGTCATGTTGAAGGCTCCGGCCCTCTCGAGGCTGAAGTAGAGGCTGGTGTAGAAGTGCTCAGACAAAACCAGGATGAGATGGGAAGTGCTGGAGCTTGCCAGCTCAGGCATGCTGAAGGGCATGGCGGGGCTGACCGGCAAAGGGACAACTGCCCCCTCCACCTGGAATGTTGTCTGCAGAGACATGGGGAGGGGAAAAAGGGCTGGGGGTGCTCAGGGCATGCTGCAGGAGGTGCAGTGTGCAGCACGGAGGTGGGTGCTGCAGAGCCCTGCCTTACCTGCAGGGACAGGGCAATGCCCTGCTTGGAGAACACGGGGGCAGCCAGCGGCAGGTACTGGAGCTGGCAGCTGGGGGTGACGAGAAACAGCGCTGCAGAGTGAGCAGAGGAACACTCAGAGGGGAGCAGAAGGGGGCTGTGCCTGCAACCCTCCTGCGTTTCCCGGAGGAATCGATTTCAGAAGGGGAGAACAGGATTCATTTCTCATGATGTTCCGCCCTCCCCACTCCCAGATTTCTGGAGCCTGGACCTGCAGCACTGCTCACCTGTCAGCGACATCAGCTGCTCATTTGGAAGAAAGAGCAACTTGGAGACATCCAAGCAAAGCTACAGGATAAAGAACAAACCCTGAGAGGTGGGAGATGAATGCAGGGGCTGCCTCACTCTCCCTGGGTGCGTCTGCTGCAGACCTTCCAGAACTTTGTCTCCTGCTGCCTCCTATCTGTGCAGATATTCTCTTACCTTATCGACATTCACCTCTTTGTCCAGGATGGATCTGGAGATCTTGCTGGATGAAAACAGCAGAGCAGAGGAGGTTAGGCAGCACCAGCTGGGCCAAGGGACCCAAAAGGTGTTCAGAGATGTCGTTATCATTACTTTCAATCATCTGTTAAACTGTGACTATAGTGTGGAACCCTACTTGCACTAAAAATGTTCCTGCTCAGTGCTTGGAAACATCTGCTCCCTCCTGAGAGAATGAAACTCTATTAAGAGAGAGGTGAGGACAATGCTGCAAACGGATCAAAGCTTCTGCCTTGAGGCTAAAGCATTTGTGTTAACCTCTGTAACCTTTTAGGTCAGCGATCTCGGTCCTTCCACCTTCCTGCACAGCAATGCTTTTTGCTCAGTGTCTTTTTTCCCTATTCACCCAACCGTGTGCCCAGGGAAACTTAGAGCCGACCTTTCTGCCTCCCTGGTGCTCTGTGCATGCACAGTGGGTCTGCAGGCAGAGGTCAGCAGCTGCAGGTTGCCATCGGGTCCCACGTCCACGTGGAGGTCAGCCTGGATGGAGAGCCTCGCCAGCATGGGCACAGAGCTGCAGGGGGAGGCAGAGTTGGGGTTGCCCCATGGTGCTGAGCCGTGCTGTTGCCCCACTGCCCCACTCTGTGGGTGGATGTGACTCACTGCAGGGGTGTGATGCGCAGCTCCACTTCGATGCCCAGCCGCAGTCCAGCCTCAGGGATGAGCGACAGCCACAGGTCAACCACTTTTACAGAGGTAATTCTCTTCCTGCTCGAGGAAACGTGGGTGTAAGGAGCCCCGTGCTGCTCCTGCCCCAGGGTGTGCGGGATTGGTGCATTGCACCTGAGG